ACTATGACCGTCGGAGAATCCACAGCCGATGACCTAGTGGCGGTGTCCGTTGACAGTACCACCACTGAAGACGACAAGGCAAAACCCTCATCCGCTACGCAGACTAAACCCACGAGGAAAGCAAAGTCTTCGCCAAGGACGACGACAACGTCTCGTCCATCTTCGGCAAACCCAGGAACAAGAACTACCGACAGACGACCGTCCAAAACGGTGATGCAATGTTTGCAGTCAACATTGAAAGTGAGAGACCGAGAACCAAAGAGCCCAGAGCAAAGGAAGACTAGATCGTCAAGGAGTTCTTCGAGAAGGTCCATACAATCTGGAACTGCTAAGGGCAGAGGAGGATGCTCACCGTCGCCTTTGGCGAGGTCGCACTCAACGCTTGACGCGGGTGTGCGGAACCCTTCTATGAGCCGAATGCTCCAGCTCGACGACTTACCTTCGGGCCTCCCTTTCGAGGACATCTCCAGGAATGGGCGACCCGTGCACGAGTCCCTCGTGCAGCAAATGGCCATCGCACAGTCCGAAATGCAAAGGTTTCATGAAGCGGAACTTCAACGTCATGAAGCAGTTGTTCAAGTACTGACGCAGAAGATTGCCGAATGACCCAGGAAGAGCAAGGTTCAACCATGAGAGAGCTGAGGAATTGGAACGTCAACGCAACATGATGCAAGCATGCATGGCGCAAATGAATCAAGTGCACTGAGGATCAAGAATGGAGTACGAAGTCGCGATGATGAAGATGGAAGAGGTGAGCCAGAGTCGACACGCCCGTGATCATGAACTTGCCGAATTGCTTTCTACCCAGTTGGGTCAATTACGGGGTGAACCGCCAACCGCTTCCTACACTTGGAGGACCAATCATCGATCGCATCTTCACTGACGAACCAACTGCTTCGCCCGTCATAAGCCGGCAATACTTTGGTGGTCACCTGTTGAAAAGCTGAAAGTCGGTGTAATTCTGGAAGATGGCGGTGATTTGTCGCAAAAGATTCATCACTTTGAAAGAGGTAGTCATCGTCTCCTTCGCCATGCTCATAAGGCACAGCAGAGTGGCTAGCCGTTGCGCTGTCCACGGATCGAGCCCCGGGAGATTTCTTTTCCGGATATCTTCACTTGAGTGAAGTGTGCCGGAGAAAATCCGGTCACCTTCACCTGGGTGAAGCACACCGGGGATCTGGTTGCCTGCCTCCACAAGTGTGAAGCTTCCCGTTTTCCCGGGAGTTCCATGTTGAGATGTAACCTGGGCGTGTATCCCCTCGCAAAGCGTACAGGAACACAGGCAACGCAGGAGTTTCTTTCTACTACAACAGGCACACAGCTGTAGGTCGTGCTCTGCTAGAACCTTGAGCAACAGGCATGGATACATGCAGGTGATACATGAAACCGACAGGCACCTGGAAGATACAGTCTATGAAGCATCACTGCTTGGCTATATACTGCAGCCTTATACCTGGCTATGCTGCTCCTGGCGGTCTCTTCTTCAGCAAATGTGAAAAGCTGATGGGGATCTGGCTTGTTGTAATTGTGCGACTGCTGGTCACGCGAGGCAGCGCATGCGCTAAAATGGCAGCAGGGAGCCTTTTCTCCTCAATCTAAAAAAGGAGATTCACACTGTGCCCGTAATTGCAATCCATTCTGTGTGTTTAGGCGCAAAGCGTGCAAGGCATCAGTTTTTTTAAGGTTTAGTTTATGTTTAAGGGGTAGGGTTTGCCAGCCGTCGTGTTTCAAGGTTTGATGATTTGTTTTGGCGGTTTCTGGTGTCCCATCAATCTTATGTCATGCCTTCAGCTTGGCATCCATCGTGTTTCATTTTACAGATTAGGGTTTGCCCTCCAGTATAGCTTGTAAGGTTTACGCTTTTAGGCTTGGCCATGCGTTGTTTCTTCAAGAGGCCAAGGATTGCAATGTTTCATTTTGTTTGCAGCTTAGGATTTGTGCCAAAAATTTTTTAGATCTGGGATGTTTTCCCATCCGTCATGTTTTAAGGGTTTTAGGGGTTGCCATCCGTTCTTGTTTGTAAAGTTCAGGATATGCTACGCTTCATGTTGTTTGGTGCTTAAGGCTGCATTTGTGAGTTGTTTTGGAGGTTGTCGGGCTGGCAATCCGCTTCCTTTTGGGATTCTGGTTTTGGCTCGAGTGTGCCACTCATCATGTCAATGTCCTTCTAAGTAAAGCTTAAAGCTTTGCCATCTATCATTTGTTTTTGGTGGCTGGAAGTCCAAAATCTTATACGTGTTTCAGGTTCTGCTCTCGTTCATAGTAGGTGTTTTAGGGATGCCAGCTGAAAGACGGCTTTGTGTTTAGGGTGCACAAAAGCCGCTGAGTATCTAGCCCATTTTGCAGAGCTTTTCCGCATCATGCACCACTGCTGGCGTTGCTTGCTGCAACACTTTCTGGTGCCGCATGTAGGCCAAGTGCAATCGGCTGCACTCCCAAAAGGCTCCGGAAGGCCACCACCGCGAACAAGCGATGGGCCGCTAATGGGCCCAAAAAATGACCTTTCTACTTCTTGTACTATTGTACCCCAAAGTCAATTTCACACGCATGCCGTAACTTTGGCAAGCGGGATGCGGTAGGAGAGTGTGCTCACACGAACCGACCGACGATGGTGGGTCTGGACTCTTTCACACCTCGGAACCTTACAGGGACAGAGGGCGGGTCGTCATTATCTTCCGTGCGTGATGGAAACTGTTAGTGCCACCTTTGTGAAAGGTTTGACTTCGAAACTACCAGAGTCTGATTGACGGTAGACGTTATGTTCCAGGTTTGTTGGGACAAATATGATGCTTGGCCAAGGGTAGCGGATAAATAACAAGAGTTATAGTTGCATGGGCGTGGGGCCGGTTCCCTCGTGACTTCTGATTTCGATGTTCGTCAAACTTATGCCAGGAGAACGAGCGCTTGCGCCAGCATGTGAAGGGATTTCAACGTGACGTCAACGAGATCCTGGCATAAGCGGCAGAGCAGCTTCTGCATGTATGCGAAGAACACGTATCCTGTCTTCTACCTTCTGTCGCTTTGCCGCGATGCTCAAGACTCGGAAGACACCCAAGGTGGCTTCCGGCCCTCATCACTTGACATCTCTTTGGAGTATGTGTGTGTGTGTGTTTGTGTTTGTGTTCGCGAATGTTTGTGTGTTTGAGTGATAGTTTCACCAACTCTTTGCTAGTCGCGTTGTTCCAGGTCAAACCCACATGCGGCCTGTTTCGGCGTCGAAAATAGAGCTCAATACAGTCAAATCACGTTGTTCAAGCTTTGAGAAGGAATCGGCACGTGTCAAGGCACCTCAGTGCAGCAGAGGATTTCTCAGAGATGTCACGCATCTGATGGCTCAACCAGCGAGCGCCCACATGGAGCAAAGGGTGCAGGCTGTTTTTCTTTTCATCGCGCTGCTCCTTCCAGGCGAGATGCTGTTTACATGAAAGAAAATGAAGCATGCGAGGGCTGATGTCTTTGCTTCCATTCGTCAGGGGTACAGCTACGTCAAAGAACCAGCATGAGAGCCATCAGAGAACTGTCTGACGCTGTCGCATACTCACCGAAAGCGTATCAGAGCCAGAAATAAAGACAAAACCGTTTCTCGCAACAAGTGAGCCTCTGCAGCAGAAGAGTTGCACACGTAGTGATCGGGATCCCAAACAAGCCGCAACTTCATTTTAGTTTTCAGAGACTTGGCTTTGGAAAGGGCGAGGATTGATTGACCGGCTGCTGCGCGTGCTGTTTTCACGAGCAAGTATTGCATGGGCTTCGATGATGGTCTAGACCGTGTTTTGTCCATGCAGGTTGCTACGGCCAGGTGGGAAGCTGACCAGCTGTTGTGTTGGAACCGATGCAATTATTTGCTGTCAGTGTCATGCGAGGCTTCGCAGTTCGAGATCAAAATTTGTCAAGATGAGCAGGAGGCATGGCAATGGGACGACAGCGCAGTGATGTCTAGCAACGTGGGTGGTGGTCAGTGTTGAGGCAAAGACAGACAGAGACAGAAAGAGACAGAGTAGGGTTTTGGCTCAAGCCGCGAGTGGTTCAAGGGAGGGTGACCTCACAGCCACTTTCTCTCTTGCCTCTCTCCACCCTTGAGGTCACTCTCTCTCAACCCGGGGGCCGCCCCGTCAATAAGCCTTTGCTCTCTTTCTCTTCCGCTGTGATTGCTGAACATCAAGCAGGGGGTTCTCGCGCAGACCGAGCCCATCGCTCCTTCAGGCGAGATCGTTGTGCAACGTTCCCCGAGGGTGACCGCAGCCGGCCGGGACCTTAGGAAGTTTGCCTGCCACGCCAACCACGTGATCGGCGAGCCTACGCACGGCCGAGTTCCCCCTGACGACCGGGGACTACCGCATCCTCGAACGTTGGCTACCTCAAGGTAAAGATCGTGATATTGGCAAGCAGTCGAACCTGGTGCTCTTTGCCCTACATCACTCCGAGATGGCCCTCTCCACGACGAAGCAAGCCATGGAGACAGATTCTCCGGCCCGCAAACGGGGGGTCCCAGACGAAGGGCTCAGCTTGGAGTCCATCCGTGAGGTGCTCCGCACGGAAATCCAAGGAGCAGTCGGAGGAGTCACTGATCGTGTTGCAGCATTGGAGAGAAGTCTCCAGAATCACAATGAGAGGACGTTTCAGGCCGTGGAGACTCTCTCCACAGGCCAAGCAGAGCAAGGCCTGAGAATCCAACAACTCGTCACCGACTCCAAAGCCATGGCGACCCGCCTCAACACCCTCGAGGGGAACATAAAGTCGTTACAATCCGCGGGGAGCACCCCGTCCACCATGGATTCGGGGAGAGTCCCGGCTCTGGTTATGGGTGGGTGGCCACCTGACACTCTGGCAGCCGATGTCCTTGCCAAAGCAAACGAAATGGCGCGTGACTTGCAGCTGCAGATCAACATGGCAGACGCTTTTGTGCCAGGTGTCAGGCGAGGGTTTGTGTTGATTCCGATTGCACCCCTCGACGGAGAGTCAGAAGAAGCTATGCGACAGAGGGTCCAATCATGCATCAGGCGTGTGAATGCCTCCAATGTTTCGCTGGGATGGAAGCCAGACGGAAACCCAGCGAGGCTGTGGCTTACATTGAGCCAGCCACCAGAGAGGCGTCGAAGGGCAGCACTCGCAGGGAAAGTCAAACGACTCATCATTGAAGCAGGGGGTTCATCCCTAATCGCGCGCATCGAGCCAGAGTGGGCCACAGGAACAGTGTGGTTCAAAGATTGCAAAATTTCATCAGGCACATCGTCCGGGCCTACGGGGTCCAGCAACGCCGGATGCGGGTGGATTGACCTCCCAAAGATCGCTGAGCTTCTCAATGTTGACTTGCAACAGCTGACTAAGGTGTGGGAACCGCTTTTGGCGGCTTTGCGTTGAATCGACACAGAATTTGCCATGGGGGAAATCCCCAACGAGTCTCACCGAGTACCAGTGCAGCCTCAGCCCTTTCAATATGAGAGCCCGCCGGAGGCCCAGCGTGATGCTTTACACTTTGCCACTTGGAACCTGGGAGGGATGAGCCCGGAGAACGTGCTGGACTTTCTCTCTAGTTTCCGAGGGGACAGACCCCTAGCCCGCCTGAGCCTTGTTTTTCTCCAAGAGATAACAACGCAAGGGGGGCCGAACTTCCTTGACAGCGACACGTGGATGCTGATCCACGGGAAACTACAGCATGAATGGAGAGGGTGCGGGATCGCTTTCCGTAAAGTCTTGGGAGTGCATTCCAATTCCCACCTCAAGCTTGCTGCCTGTACCAGCTGCCTAAAACTGCATAATTCTAAACAGGTGGGCCTAATTTCAGGCCACATCTCCCATAAGTTCACCATTGCCGAGACAGCTTCTGCACTACAACAGTGGGGGGAATCCCCAGCGTGCCGCCTTCCCAAACTCCTGCTGGGTTTCGATGCGAATGAAACCTTCCTTCAGCCGGGAGAATTGCCCCACCCGGACACTTTGTCGTGCACTGGTCGAGGGGAGCAAATTCTCACATGGTGCTCGGAAGTTGGCCTAATTTTTCCCCCCCAAGCCTGTGAGCGCCCCAGTCACTTCCCCTATAATTCCGAGATGTCACCGCGCCGAATCGATTATGTTGCTGCTCGTAACCTAGCAGTGCCTTCAGGTTCCGTAGGCGCCTACCGCGACAGAGCCAGGTCAAACCATGAACCCATTCTCGCAGCGGCAACCCTGCCCACCCCTCCAGGCCCCAAAGGCAAGGTCTTGTGGTGCGCCAGACAGCTCAAGGCAGACTGCCACGCAGCCCTGGCCTCAGCTGTCTCCATGCACGCCGATCACCATCATGCCATCGCAAGTGTTGCAAAACTCATCACAGAGCCGGTGCACCGCTCGCTCAAGTTCCGTGAATCCCCAGACCTCAAAGCACTTCGCAAAGCTGCAAAGGGGGCTACCCCTGGCCAAGGTGCTCGAACAGCATGGAAACAAGTGACCAAAGCCCTACAAAAGGAAAGGCGCGAATGGCAGCGTGTACTTTCTGAACGAGCGGGAAACATGGAATGGGGCGCATACCGGGCCATCAAGCAAAAATCCTCCAGATCCAACTGGGCTGAGCAGTTGCTGGATAAAGAGACCTGGGAGGATGACCTCCACAGCCATATGTCCTCGATTTTCGCCCAACGACCAGCAACAGCCACGCGCACGGCCATGCATGAGATGCGTGACACCTGCAGCCATATGTGCAAGGAGCGCCCCTGGCGCCCCTTCAGTGAGGCCGAAATGCGGATCACCATGGCAAAATGGAAGAGGCATAAGGCAACAGGTACCGACGGGATCGCTTTAGAGGCACTGCAACTCCTTTTCGAAGACGCACGCTGGAGGCCGCGAATTGCAGAACTGATCAACGATAGCCTCTACAAAGGGGAGCTGCCCCCCTGGGTCGCCGAAGGCGCATCGGTCCTCCTCCCGAAGACCGCCGTCCCTAAAGGATGGTCCGACACTAGGCCAATCACCCTCTCCAGCGCCATCCTAAAGTGGACCGCGCAACTTCTCCGTCTGCGGGGAACACCCGCCCTCATGGACTGTTGTCATCACCAATGGGCGAGTCAAGGCAAGCAAGGTGTCGAGCTTATCTTAGCCATGCGCAAACTGGCGCGAGTCGCGCATGAATGGCGTTCTCCATTCTATGTAGTTAAAATCGACATTGCTAAGGCTTTCGACTCTATCGCGCAAGAAAAACTAGGTGACTTGGTCATGAGAAAGATAGCACACCGGGGCGAAATGCCCTGGGAGGCACGCTTATGGCTCAGCTTGCTCGAAGCCAGGCACCGTGCGCCAAGGCAGCCCCGATAGCCCGGTGCTCTTCGCGGCGGCCATAGGGGAGACCCTTGATGCCGTCTTGCACAGTGTCCGGGGTGGCAAGCCCCCGCAAGTAGGCCGTCACCAAGCCCTGGAACCCCCGCCGCATTCAGGAGCAGCTTACATGGATGACACATACGTCTGGGGCGAATCCCCCGAGTACGTTCAAGAGGTTCTCAAAGAACTGGAGAAAAGGTTCTTGGAGCTCGGATTGCGAATCAATGCTAAGAAGACCCAAGTCATCTCCAACATCCCCGACGATACATTTCGCTTTGTCATAGGAGGTGTTGAGGTGGCACCCGGAGGACCGGACACGGTCATGACCATCCTAGGAGCCCCGGTCACGCTTGCCGGGGCTAGCGCCCCGCTCATGGCAGAAATGCAAAGTCGAGCCCACGCAGCCTTTCATGCCAATCGCAAGTTGCTTTGCTCTCGTGCTCCAGTCGCTGAAAGACTGAAGATGCAGCAATCATTGGTTCGTAGTGCCGCCCTCTGGGGATGCCCCGCCTGGCCCCCCCAAACAGCTTTGCTGCAAGCAGCAAACTCCACCCAATTGTTGCAAGCTCGAACCATGCTTTGCGGGGGGCGTACCCCCACTGAAGAATGGCAGGAATGGCACATACGCACAATGCGGAGGACCCGCGCACTCCTACATAAGCACAAAATCCAAAGGTGGTCGACCCATGCGCTCCAGATGATCTGGCAGTTATGGGGGCACATAGGCCGAGCAGTCTTCCAGCCCACATTCCATATCCTTCGATGGCGCGATCTCACGTGGTGGCGTGACCAGCAGGCACTTCCCCCAGGTCCCTTCCCTAAAGGTGTCAGGCACATCGCGCATCATAATCCCCACACTGACCCGGAGAGACAGATCTCCGCAATAGCAGGCCGCCAGTGGTGGGTAGCAGCCAGTGACCGATCAGGTTGGCAAAACCTATGCAAGCCTTTTGTTTCCGCATACGACCCCCCGTGGGCTAGTGGTAACCAACTCTCGTTGCCAGGGGCGCCCAACCTTGCCCCAAACAGACGCCAGCCGCGGGCGCCAGCGCGAGCACGCGCCACTGCGCGAATTTGTGACGGTGTGTCTCTCGCCCTTGCCGCATAACGAATGACTGCGCCCACAGGACGGTTGTGCCGCAATTGTCTTCCCTCCCCGCCTTAAATTGTCTGTTTAGGGTTTAGCTGCCCTCCAGAGAGTCCCTTGAACCGAGCCCATGCCACGCGATCTGCATATTTTCTCCGCGAAGTCTTTTTGGTTTAGACACCCCCCACCTTTGCCCGCCAGTGCACATGTTTGCAAGTTCTGTCATGCAGTTGTTGTAAACCTATCTCATGCCAGTAATCTTGCATCAGAGTTGCGCCTCTGCACTGCAGTTCAGCCTTGGAGGAGCAGGTGATCCGACTTGAAGCAGTCATGCATCACTACGCAGCGTGCATTGCCTCTCAAGCTCGAACCTTCCGAATGCCTCAGGACCGCCGGTGCGACATGTACCGCCCGCGCGTGCCTGCTGCAACCAACCAGCGCCGTGGACCCTGCGGCCTTTTTGGCCTCTTGCTGGGATGCCTCTGGCTTTCCCAGAGCGGTGCAGGCCCTAGCCCGAGTCCCCAGGTGATCTACGTGGACTCCAGTGGTGCAAGCGACTCATCCGAAATGCCTTGGGCTCCACTGGAACCAGAACCCTTAGCCCAGCCTCGGGTGATTGAAGCTGATGAGGTCATGGACATGCCAGTGCAACCGCAGGGGATTCCCCCTACCATGCCGGAACCGCTGCACCCCCGGGACAGACCTCACAGAGCCCAACGCGAAGGAGGCCCTGGAATGAGCTCCCCCTCTACTTCTTCGGCAACCTTTCCTGGACTACGTGACCGACCTCCTCGACAACAAGGCCAAGTACCAGTGCAATATCAGGGCCAGCAAGCCCCCCAGGCAATGCAACAGGCGGGACATCCGCAGACAAATAGCTACCAAGGACCGGTTCTGTACCAAGGGTCCCCAGCCTCCCAACCGGAGACGCAGGGCATCGCCGCATACAGAATTGGCTATGCCCCCACGTATGACCCTGCTGCAGATCCATGGCATGAAGATGGTATGTTCCATGGAGTTTCAGCCGCGATGGGCGCATTCATGCGAGGACAGAACCCTCACGACTCAATGCAGCAAGGTGCACATCCTGCACAACAATCTGTACAACAACAGCCCGCCTATGCCCACCCGTATGACCCTTGGGAGGACGAGCTGGACCAACCTCCGCAAGCCATGCATACCCCACATAGCGCTGTGCCGGGATATTCTCAACAACTACAACCAGGACCAGACGGACGATTACCACATGCAGAACCCAACGCAATGGGGAATACCGGCTCGGCCATGCCGGGAGCAGGGCACTTCAACCCTCCCACCATGGATCCGTGGGGAGTCCTGGCGAGGCGCTACGCTTCATCGGGTCCGCTCCTCCCGCCAGAGCAATGGGGCCCTAATGCCTTGGGTCTCTCAGGAGGGCGACTTCCTGCTCAACCCACGTCGCCTACCCCGAGCGAGGCTACTACCTGCGCCGGGGATGAAGCTCCAGCAGATTGCACCCCCGAAGAACATGACCCTGCCAACCAGTTTCAAGACGAACAACTACCAGAAGGGCAACTTCAAGAAGATGATGGCGAGCTGCCGACCCAGGGTGACCTCGACTGGGAGAGCGACACCGACGATGACGAGGAAGACGAGGAGCCCGAGCAGACCACCCCACAATCGGGGAGGAAAGCCCCCAAACGAGCCGCCGGTCATGGGTCGCAGAGAGTGGCTAATAAGGCAAAAAAGTCCGATGTCAAGAAAAGATGGCGCGAACTGGAGTGGGGCAAAAAACCAACGTGGTTGAGCTGGCGAGGTGCAGTGCCATACATCATGCGGGGCGAAAAGCCCCCGGCCAAACAACCGCTGCCGCCGACACCGTCGCCGCAAAGAGAACATCTCCTTTCGTTGCTTTCAGCCCACCGCTACAGCTACGACGCACAGGGGAACATTATTCCTCACCACCCACAACTACCTGCTGCAGCTGCTCGTGTGGAACGAAGCGAAAAGGCTACCAACCAAGCTCGAGTGGACCATGCACAAAGACGAGCGGAGAACCCATACCTGCACCCAGCGGTCCCGAGAACACAGTCGCAAACAACACCCACGGCATCCTCCTCCTCTACCGCCAGGAAGACAACGGGTGAACAAGGATATAGCTCAGTACAACCAGATCGGCTACAACAACGAGGCCCGCCACATACACCACAACAACCAATGGAACCAGGCCCTCGGGGACGCCCCCGTCGTGAAGTTCAGTTTGACCTACCTGAAGGACACCGAGAAGAACCTCCCAAACCCGTGCGCCGCCAGCACACTTGGCGCAAGCTTACAGACAGCACCACCGTGCAGTTGAAGGGCGATGGAGTCTACAACTACCCAGTCCAGATCGTCGACAACAGACCGGCGCATACACAGGACCAAGCAGGTACGAATGTACCACCCTCTGGAGCCGACAACCACAACCACGACAACTACCTGCACAACTTTGAGGGTGATGTCCTGGTAGTACAACCTTTGCACCTCACGGAATTGGCCGAATCAAGTTCCTCGTCATCTTCAGCCAGTCACCCTACACTACCGAGGGACCCTACAGCAACGACGCGCACCGGGGGTCCCCCGCTACCCCGTATGGATGATCTGGACCAGCAAGCTGCCGAAGCCATTCAGGTAGGTCGAATTCCTGCCTGGCGCCTGGAGGGGTCTGGCCCCAGCATGCGCAGCAGCGTCCGCGTCGATGACAACAGCCACGACCTCTCCTGGGTCCAGGGGGTCACCCCTCGTACGCTACCACCACCAATGCCCTTGCATCCTCGAACGGTGCTCAGCATGAGGGGAAGCGCTACAGGATCCTGGCGTGGCACGACCTGGTCTCCCCCAAGCCACTCCATCGTGCTCCATCCCCCATGTCAACAAGTGGAGCCCACGATAGTCATTTACAAGACGCTGGCAGGGCAAGCAGATCGGGGAGTTCTTCCCGATGGACTCCAGATGACGATACACCCAGCAGGGGAATGGATCGCCACGACGCGCTTTGAATTGGGCTTCGCTCGAACCCCAAGGTTCTGGCTGGTCTTCATCCACCAAGCACCACCACCGGCGACGGGAAGGTTGCCGCTGAAACCTGGGGATAGTTTCTGGCTTGAATGGCGTGGACAAGAAAGAGTCTGGCAGAGAAGACCCCGATTCGACAATGACATCCAAGCCCTTGGGGGAATGGCCACCATCCCCGAGGACGTGGCCCCGCGTCCACCTACGCCTCCGCAACGACGAGATCCTACACTGTCCAAGCCCAGACCAAACTACCAGGGGTTTGATCCTCAGCGCTTTGTCGACACTCGGCCGTTGAGGAGAAGGCTCATCAACCCCGAACCCGAAGTTGACCCTGCCGCAGCATCGTCTGGCTCGACCCAGAACACGCAAAAGCAGACCCAACAACCACCACCACACCAACCTCAACAACAACCACCTCCAAGTGAAGAGGCAGCAAGCAGAGGAGCCTCTTCCCCCATGGCGCAACAACAGCAGAGCAATCGGGGCACCCAACCCCAAGCAGCCGGCAAAGCAAAGGCAAAACCTCCACCACCACCACCAGCATCCTCCGGCTCCGAGACAGAAACCAGTTGGCCAAGCGAAGACCCGGCACCGCTGGAGGGGGATGATACTGCCCTCATACAGCCAAGGTACGACCAAAGCCATAAGATGAAGCTGCAGGAAACTAGTCAGGGAGATGTCTTTTCCCTCATGCAGCGACAGCCAAAAGAAGTGAACCACAGCCCCCCTGGCTCGACACACCAGCAATCAACAAGCAACAACCCACAACAACCACCAGGCTATCCACCTCAACCACCACAACCGTCAACCGAGCAACCTCCACAACCGGACTCGGACACAGCATGGTACTCAGTTGCTGCCAACTTTGAGGGCGAGTTTACAGTCAGTGGTTTGCTTCGAGTCCTCCAGAAAATCCTGCACGAGATGCTCCAACAGACCTTTAGCCTGCCGAATGAGTACCTTACGCACCTGGCGTACCATTCCTGCTATTACCTCTCCAAGCTACAGAGTACAAATGACCGCCAAATACAACATAGCGAACAGGGGGACAGCCCCTATGGTATCGGATCCCCCGGGCCCACGGCTATGGTCTTCTGCATCACCAATGCTTTCGTGGAGGCGGAGGCAGCTCTGGAAAGCCTGGTACAGAACCAACGCGACCTACCACGACGACACCTTCTTAAAGAACTCCGGAGAACAGAAGCTCTGCTCAAAGACGGTCGAGCCATCTTCAAAAGCTGGGCTCGGAATCCAAATGCACCGGGAGCGCTTCCCGGCACGGCTGCCTCGCAAAACGCGCTTGACGGAGTGGACTTCTCGTTCCTTGCCAACGAAGAAGGAGGCGTGGCAAACCTGGACGAATCCCTGCGAACAGCCTGGGAAGCCACGCGACGCTGCAGCCGCTACATGGACCAGCTTCTGGAGTGGATCCAGGGCCAATTTCAAGAAGCTGGAACAGAGGGGAGCCCCTCTCCAAAGAAACGTCGAGTCGAGCAGCCCTCCAGCAGCGACTGCAAGCCGAGATATGAACAAGGCCCTCGCAGAGTACCCGAACGCGCACCTGGCCCTCTTCAACATGATCCTGCAGTACCTCAACGAGACCGTCACAACGTGGAACCGGGGGCTGCCCCCTACAATGTTCTCAGAGCTCAACAATTGTTGGAAGCAGTGATGCCGTTTACAGAACAAGAGGTCGCGACTTCATTGCAGGAGGTGCACTCCCTTTTGCTCCAGTGGACAACAGGACTATGGGGAGAGCCAATCGTCCTCAGCGACAGCTTGGAGACAAACGCGGGGGCTGGTGCAGCCGCTTCAGACGACCAAGGGGCTCCACCCCTCTGTGCAGTGGGAACGCTTCCGCCTACTTTGCCGGCGGACAACAGCAGTGATGAGACCGTGACGGTGGAATCACACAGAAGACGCCGACTACACGCTCATCTACAAGATTGAAGGGGAAGGTCCCCTTGTACATCGACGCCTGAGGGGAGCCAAAAGAAGCGCTTTGTCGACTGAGCACATCGGGACCACAACTGAGTCAGCAGACTAGCCTAGCTGGGGTGTGCACCCCCCCCACCCTAGCCTTCGGAGTTCAGGTTCCGTTGTCTTCAGAAGGTTCTCTTGGGGTCGGTTTCGGCTGTTCTCGGGCTTTTGCTTCAGGCGGGGTAACCTGTCTTGACTTCTTCTTGGTTCCTTTCCTCGTAAATAGGGGGGGGGCAACCCCTCTCTCCAGGCAGTTGCAAGAGTTAGCATGGCATTGATGGTCCTGGTCTTAAGTCTTTGTAGGTGTCTGTTTTTGTTCTAACAGGAGCTTGCCAATCTGCAGGGGAGAGACTCCCTCACCCACTAGGCAGCTAGACACTAAGCTCTCCTTTTCGAAAGGCCCTGAGGGTTGCAGTTGTGCTTGATGTGCATGTGGCCATGTGCATGTCATGTCATTTGATGCCACAGGGAATCCTGAAGCCTTTCGGACAGTGGCAACAACGATGCTGGGAAACACCCAGACAACTTGAGCACTGGCATATGGTTTCTCATGGCCTTGATTGAGCATCTTGGGGGACTCACAAACAATGGATGCCAAGTTGCCCGGTTGTTGCACTGCCTTTACTCTCACCAAAGGCCCCGCAACAGTCGGGGGCGCTCGAAGCGCGCGGGTGAGGGGCAACTCTCACCCGTAGCCCTGGCGAAAGAAAGTAGGAATTTTGGTTCAAGCCGCAAGTGCTCAAGACGGCGGGCCCTCAGTAGAGGCGTCATGAGGCGTCCTAAATCCGGGCGAAGGAGAGTGAGCCTGTGACCTGCTGGGTCAGACCCTCCCGCAGCAATAGTCGTGAAGGGCAGCCTTGCATGACTATGCGTCACCATCGGGTCTGTTTTCTTGGTTGCGAGCCAGTTTGACAACCGCAGCAGCGGTTGTAACCTGATCGGGGCCTACTTGTTGCCGAGCGCCGTGTGCGATTCTCCGCCAGGGCAAAGTGGGAGAGACAGAGCGTCCTGGACGGGGTCGTGCTACTTTCTCGACGACACCAAGAATGGCATCGTCCATGGATGGTTATGGAGCGCATTCGCTTACAACGCCGCTGGCCGCACAGGAGTCCATGGAGCATGCAAAAATGGCGATATAAATGCAATTCGTGAGCCTCTGCGACAAAACAACGCCGAGCTCAAGTCGCAGCAGGTTGAACGGAGCGTCACCTGGTAGCTCATGGGCGCCTTGCGCATGCTCAAGACCATCGCGGCCACGCAGGACGAGCATGGCAGGCGATTCGGGAGCTCCAAACGAGAACAAGCAACTGGCCGCCCGGATGGGGACAAGCACAGACCTGTCACAAAGTCCGGATAAACGCTCAGGAGCCATTACTTGAGTGCGGGCGGTCTTCGAGACGGAGGTCCATGCCACCTTTTTCTTATCACGAGAAGAACGATTCTCGTATGTGCGCAGTAAGTCCTGCCACACGATGGACAACCTTGGCGCGGAGCTCGTGCCCTACTTCCTATCGCAATGTGAACAGTGTTCACTCAGTGCTCGTGCACATCTTCCTGTTCGCTTTGTATACATATGACCGTTGTGTGTATACTATGTCCGTGTTAGGTGATGAATAGTGTAAATATTAACGGCGGTTTAAATAGAGCGTAAAAGTTCCAGCCACAGATATATATATATACACATGCATACATACATACATACATACATACACGCAGACAAACAGAAAGAGTGACAGAGACAGACAGGCAGGCAGGCAGGCAGGTTGGCAGTCAGGCACACAAACACACAAACACACAGACACACAGACACAGACAGAGTCACACCGACACGCAGATGCACAGACGCACAGACACACAGACGCACAGACACACACAAAAACAGACACACACACACACAGAGACACACACACACACACAAACACCCATATTTCGCTGCCATAATTCCTTTGTCTCCCCGCAAGGACCAAATGACCCTTAAAAGCAGGGGCCGTATACCCTTTTACTATGAATCCCTATATATTGGTATATGAACCTTAAATCCTTTTAGGGTTCTTTGCGTTCTTAAGGCATTTGGTACGCGAGTAAAATTGTCATGTGGGGTTATCCGGTCCTGTAATTGTTGCTACCAATGTCAGAGCAGCTTTCTCCTTACCGCTGATGGGACCGGAACACTATTCTTCTGTGACTGTGGCTGCTGATGCTATTGTCGTTGCTATCCTCGTTGCCGGTTCTGGTTCTGGTGGTGGCTGTGGAGGTGGTGGCGGCGGTGGTGATGGCGGCGGTGGTGGTGGTGGCTGGTAGCTGGTGGCTGGTGGATGTGGCTGATGGTGGCTGGTGCCTGGTGGCTGGTGGTGGCTGGTGCCTGGTGCTGGTTCTGGTGTTGGTGTTGGTGTTACTGCCATTGCTATTGCTATTGCTATTGCTGCTGCTATAGCTGCTGCTGCTGCTACTACTACTGCTGCTGCTGACACTGCTTATCGTGTTGCTGTTGTTGCTGCGGCGGTTGTCATCATCCTCGTCGGCATCGCCTCCACCATCCTGAGCTCACCGATTCTTGTATGGATATCCCAGGGTTTGCTTCGCACAAGCTCCCTGAACCCTAAACCCTAATCCCTAAACCCTTAGTTTAGTATGCTTATGCTTATGGCCAGGCTTGATTCTGCGATCAGTGTGTTAGAGATGCCATTCACCTCCTCATTGTTTTTTTGTTCTGTTCATACAAATTTGCTGTGGTAACCAAATGGTGGTGATGATGATGACGATGATGATGATGGTGATGGTGATGGTAATGCTTGCTACAACCAGGCTCTTATTGTATGTTGTCTCCGTGCTTGGCCCGACGTCTGAAACCCAACCCGTGATTGAGTCCACCCCTTACTCTAGGTGCCTGAATAGTTGCCAAGATGATGCCTCTAGGACTTCACAATATAGCCGTAATAAGGTTTAGGGTTTAGGGTTTAGGGCCGTAATATCATGTTCGCCATAACCTATAGTGCTTTTTGGGATGGTGGCTCTGGACTTGGGAATCATTTTGGGTCTACCTGGCTATGTTAAGCTATAAGACCCTTCTTTTTTCTGGGTTCTTCGCATACGGTTGGTTGTATGGGGAGCTTACAACAAAGTAGGTTCTGAGATTCTGGTAGGTTAAGTACCTAAATCCCGAATCCCTGAACCCACCAAAACCTACACCCCTAAACCCCAAACCCTAAACGCATTAACCCTAAATCTTTAACCCAAGAGGAACTGGTGATTTCGCGGATATCGAAAGTGCTTCTTGCGGCTGTGCTTGCATTCATATGACGAAGTGGGAATCGCTTTGGGGGTTTAGGGTTCAAGGTTTAGTTAGGGTTTAGGGTCCCTACACCCAGACTGCCGCTGATTCACGTTGGATTCAATATGTCACAAACAAAGACGACTGGCCCGCTTGCAACTCTTAGCCATATTGTTATAGATACTTATATGTACACATACATATACATATATATTATTACAGTTCCATGTTTATTTAGTTATTTGTTTATATATAGACATGCTACAACAGACCATCATATACTTTAAGATGCCATGACAATGTACTTTACATAGCTTGTAATATACTATATAGTATACTGTTTCCATGCTTGAATGGGTCTACAGACGGAGAGGGATCCAGGTTGTGTGGCTTAGGGGTTTGGGAGTTTATGGTTTAGGGTTTGGGGGTTTATGGTGCAGGGTTTAGGGTTTAGGGCCTTAGGATTTAGGGTTTATTTTAGGTTTTCTCCTCAAGTGACAAAACTCGGACGGTTGCGGTACCGGTCTCCAGTCAGGCTGCATTCCCGTAGCCCAACTTCCCCTAGACCCTCAACCCGAGATTCAATCCTCCACTCCCAACCCCGAACCCTCAACCCTGTACGTCAGCAGAATAGGAACCCAAGGAAACAACCGAAGTTCGAGACCCCTACCCCTAAACCCTTAATTCTCACACCTGAACATACCTCACCGACATGTCTAATTAGAGATGAGGGATCTTTTGTGGAAGTGGCTTTGGGCTTAAGGATTAGGGGGGATTGGGATTATTGGCTTTCGGGATTAGGGTTGAGGGAAAAACAAAATGAGGGGGTTCAGCGATTAGCGGGCTTGAGGTTTAGGGGTTAGGCATTGTGCTTTGGGGGTTAGGTTTTGGGGTTTCGGTTTAGGGATTAAGGTTAGGGGTCAGGGTTAGGGGCTAGGTGTTAGGGCTGACATTCTGAAAGCTCCCAGATTTCGTAAAGGCGCGATGAAGCACCGCCAAGTCCAAGCAACTGGAGCCCTTACAGTCCCTAAACCCCTAAATAACCCCTAAACCCTTTAACCCCTTGAGAGGGAATTCAAAAGAAACCCCCGAAAAAACCTTACACCTCAACCTGCGACCCCCCTGAACCCCTAAACCCAAAACACTTAAAGCCGTACCTTGACAAACTGGGTTCCCCAGTAGTACCCTTTTGCCCTTTTTATTTGGGGGGTCTCCTTATTAAAGTCGAAGATTAGAAAAAAAAGAGGTAACCCAAAACCCTCAACCCTAAACCCTTATTATTAAGGGGTCACTGGGGAACCTTGACAAAGTCTTCCGCCCGAGTTCTAAAAGGCGGGTCACCCCAAACGGAATCACAGGAGCCGAAATCCCCTGTGGAGCCGGTCTGTTTTTTTGTGTATAGGGTTTTAGGGTTTAGGGTTTTAGGGTTTAGGGTTTTAGGGTTTAGGGTTTTAGGGTTTTAGGGTTTTCGGGTTTAGAGTTTTAGGGTTTAGGGTTTTAGGGTTCAGGGCTTTAGGGTTTTGGGTTTCGGGTGCTCGACTAACAAGTAGGATTTGAGCTAGAGGGCTCTACACAAATCCCTATAAACCCTTATACCTCATTATACTTCCCTTTAGAGGAGCAGCATGCAAAAGGGCAAGCTGGACAAGCTACAACAGCTGAATATGAACCAGGCTGGGCCCTACTTCGCTCTAGACCT